AAATGCATTGGTCGTTGACTAGCTTCATTTTAGCCACAATCGCGTACGTAAACACTATGCAGCTATACTACAAGACTCGTGGGACATCGAGTCAACATATGTCGGAATGCGTCATTTGGAATCTCATTTCATCCACCCGCTCTTTTTGGGCAGGGTGGGCAACGTGAGCGCGCTCTCATCCACAACTCGCATCCGTTTTTCCTCCTTGAGCCTTCACACCATATCTCAACGTAGCATTTCGAGAACACTGCATCACGCATAAGATGAGCCAACAAGCAGAGAATCCGAGTTGCCCGAATTCTAAAGTCATGCACAATAGTTTGAAATTCGACCTCGATTTTGGGCGTCACTATGAGCTTTATTATGCTTACAACATGATTGGTGTGTACCGTAGCTAGGTGTGCTAGCTTCAAAACAAAAGCAAGCAGAATGCTCTATCTCCTTTGCTTTTCCCACTTCTTTAGATTCGACATGTTTGAATGAGGTGACCTAATAATTTAGAGCCCCCCATATTGAAAATGTGGTCGATCGTCGTCAAACCTATGGTGATGAATGCCAAATGCTACGCTGGACTGCTGGCCTTACGCGTTAGGCCATACCTTGCAGGAATTCTGGTGAAGCTACCAGAGTGTTAAAATGCTGCTTGGAACGTGTCTTCTAGAACACATGGTCAAATTGCACCGCACGATGATGATTGCCTTCATTCCGTCTTCGGACTTGAGATCTCTGGAAGGCAGTGCAATGGCATTCTGAGACTAAATGTCGTTGGCGGTGACCTGCTATCATGTTAAATAAATTAAAAATGTATATCTGCGTGTTGCAATCATACATGAGACATTGCGCCAATACTCACGCAAAAGAAATTCAGGTGGGAAAAAAATCGGAGAATGTAAAAGACAAAAATAAGTGTTGCCACTGCTGTTATTGGGTCTTTGTACTAAAATCTTTTGTTGTCGGATTTTGCTTAGAGTGTACCGTTGTGACTAGGAATGCTACGAGAATAAAAGTATAGAACATTCACGGCAGCACGATTTTGAAAATGATCAATGCTTGCTATTGTTGCTTTAGCTGGATGATCGATATCTCAATATTTGATACTAAGATCAAAACATCGGTGTTACTTTATACCTCAGAGATGGGAAACAAAGCGAATTCAACGCCTCTTGGCTAACCATTCAATTCGCTACTGACTGAAACCGATCTCTATTAATCCAGTATTATCGTCTCAAAACTGATGCCGTACTAACTGTAACCATCAGCAACACAGATGAGGTACAGTCGATATCTCGAAGTCTGATTGGGCGTGTCACCGGAAATGACGTGGCAGCCACCGCACTTGATAGAAGTTGCGCGGATAAGCTGCTTCCAACACGCTTTGCTGATATCTGGCGGAGTATTTTATCCACACAACATCTATCAAGTGCGGTGGCTGCCACGTCATTTCCGGTGACACGCCCAATCAGACTTCGAGATATCGACTGTACATGTTTCACTATAAACGTGGCGCTTTAGATTATCAGTCCGTACCCAGAATTTAGAGGGCCGCTTAGGAAAAGTAGACCATAGGTATGTGCTCTTATGTTAAGACGCGGGTTAGAAAGTGAAAGTCCGTCCTAGTCAGATGACAATTATATGGGGGAAAAAGTGAGTTATATTAGATTGGTCCGTAATTGTTGAGACACTTTACATGTATTGTTGTAAAAATCTTTTGATAAGTATTGAAGCTTTCCAAGATGTCCTGCAACCAGCACACAAGCTCGCCTATCCGACAGGCTAGCCATCTCGTTTGCTTGTTGCTTTCTTTAGCTAGGATTCCAATTTCTTCGAAACCTATTTCTGAGCCTCTTTCTTCATGACTACCGATTAGGGTGCGAAGGACTTTTAGTTCGTCCGGGCTGGCACGTGGCAAATTGCGCGGCGGGCTGCGCGGCGATCCGAACAAGGCAAACTTTGCGGGCTTCTGCAGTGGAATGTAACACGTCAGCGTGTGCAAATCGCGGAAAAAAACCGCAAAGTTCTGCGGCTTCAGTTACCAAGGCGTGGAGGTTTGAGGAAATGGTAAGGAACTTTAGTAGGATGAGACGAAAGAATTAGCATAGTGATGTTGTAGCGGTTTATATCAGGGCGCTTATGTCTTTGGGATGGGGGCATCCAAATGAGTGAGCCAATTTCTGTGCTTGGAACCAAGCTTCTGGGGGATGAGGGGATTGAAGGATTCTGGGGAAAAGGTGAGCGATTTGTGTCCTCCTGATGTTTCTCCCCTCTCCTGGGCTTAGTCCTATATCACCTACCATCGGCCTTGTTTTGAACGTTTCCCCTAAGGACATAAGCGCCGCGACAGAAAGTTGGTGACACTAAGTAACTCTATCTCAGAAGACTCTATGTTTTTTTTTGCTTAGGATAGTGTAATCTCACTCAAGCTTCACTGTTGCTTCCCTGGTCGTTGGCGTTGAAATTTCCTTGTGGACACCGTGATTCGTGTTGATTTCCCGCGGCGCAGAAAGTTTTCCAAACGCGATATGCAGAGTTATCACACCGCAGCGTTTTGGAGCGTTGATTTATGCAGACGCGAATTTCCCCACTCGGATCGCACGCATCTCGCGCGCGATTTGCCGCGTGCCAGCCCGAACGAGCCAAAGTCTTGCACTCCGAGGGGGTCTTTCTGAGCCAAGCTGAGGAGGATTATGGATTTGGGGGGAGCGGCACTTCTTCAAATTTTCGGGTTACTCTAAGGGTTTCTCTTTTATTTGTAGAAATCGACATGCAAAACCGTGACAAGCATTTTCGGGTTTTGGCGCATTGAAAAGGCATTTTGAAACAGGTGGGCGCTAGTCTCGGCGTTTTGGTGCTACGGATGGAGGAGTATGGAGCATGCGATAAAGTAGGTGAGTTTTGAATTTATGGAGTTTTATATAATGCTTGAGCCGAAGGTGCGCCTGACCCCGATCGACTATTATCTCCCCCGATTTTTTCAGTAGTTCCTGTGGTTCGAATGACCAGATCTGTGATGCTCACTGGCGGATGGAGGATGGAGTGCAGTGTGTAAATCCAAAGCGCAGTAGCTTAACTGGAATGATTTTCTGGGAGTTCTGGACGCAAAGCAACCGCCCAAAAGCCCAACTGCTTGATTCTTATTCCTAGCGTCGGCGGATTTAGAGGGGTTTTACGTTGGAAAGTCAAGAATACCCAGTGCCTTGATGAACAAATGTCGTCAGCCCGAAATTTCAAATGAAGAAGCAATGAGTGTTTTTTGTGAGGTCCGATTCACCTTGCTTAAGGAATTCTTGAAAACTAGGGGGCTCTAGGCGGGTCCGTTTTTCAGATGCTTGTAGCCGTGACTTGTTGCCATCGGGGCATAGCTTCTTTTTTGAATCGATTCTGGGGGGAGAAGTTTGCTGTGGTACCATATATTGAATTGATCACTGTTACTTCGATCGACTCATGGAATTTAGGAGGAATATTGATTGTGTCTCGCATCCTGATATGTTTGATAATGATATGATTATTGCTGATAATATCGAGTATAAATAACTATCATTTGAAACAGTAAGTGTCCATTTATGGACGACTGTGGAAGAACTGTGAGCAGCGAGAGATGTTGGTGGTAAGCCTATTCGCTAGGCGAAGTTGCGAGAATATGTTACTGAACGATGCTGCTATGATTAAGTTTTGTTTATAGTTGAGCTGTCGCAAATGGTTATTACGATTGGAACAGAAGAAGAATCCTGGATTGGTGATTGAAATTTTCTCTTTTTTGTATAGGATTCTTTGCGCATCTTCTTTTGTATCACCGGATCTTTACCCGCTATTGTTACCTGTCCAAGAAAGATCATTTGAAACTTTCTGCTTCAAAAGTTTTGAGTACATCATATCTCTAAAATTGTGACACGCGCATCCTCGCTATGCTGCACACTCAGTCCTCGTTGAGTTTCAGGCATTTAGGTTCCGCGAGATTTGGTAGGTGGGGATTATTTGCCGTTCCGTGCTGTTGCGGGAAGTTAAACGAATTTTTCAGTCAAGAGTTCAGGTATGTGAACTTGGTATCCGTTGGTGCCTGTCAGTGCAAATGTTTGATTTCATGTTGACTATGTTTCGGTCAGGTGTGTTAGTTGAGATTTGGGATTACGTGCGAATGCGTCTTGGGTGAAATTTCTTTAATGGGTTTTTTAGTGGTATTGACAGAATTTTCGAGGTTTATGATAACGTTTTCAGTGCCGGAAGGACGAACGGTTAAGGTGGCTTAGTTGGAGTGCGATGGTGAGTTGTTTAGAGGTGTAAAGGCAAGGTCTGTTTAGGCGCTTTTAGAGAGTATTCTGGTGCTGGAGGTGTTAGGGGTAGCTACAATTGCAGCAACCTCGGCATTAAAAACCTTAGGTCCGGGCGTTCAGTTTCATCCAGGGCCGCTTGGTCATTCAGCCGACACCTCAGAAGTTGTGCGTGGCTGGAACGTGGTGAAATTAGCTAGGGTTGTGGCCGTATCAAGCGAGACGTTTATACTCCAAAACTTGTTTGTACGTGCCTCTTCTCCTTCACTGCTAGTGGGGAAGAGGGTTTTGTTAACGACCTTGTCGACGGTTTTTCTCAGTTTTTTCTCCACTGTCGTTCCACTTCGCATCTCTATACTCAGTTTCAATCGCCAATGATTCCCCTTGGTTGAGCCCGACTTTTGCCTTCTAGAGGCAGGATAAATATGCGCAAGGATCAAATTTCTCATGATTCTCAAATGCGTCTCCAGAAATTAAAACCGTGCTTAGTTCCATATCTTTAGGGCAAGGACCGTCTAATGCGGGTCAGTAGTAATTTGTTAGTGACCACCGTGGGGCTCGGGAGGTTGTAATTTATGGCACGGTCCAACAGAGTTGGGTGGAGATCAGGTGGCTTAAAGCTTTATTTGTTATGTGATTGACCCGAGGGTTACACTGGAGTGAAGCGGTTCAATGTTTGTTTATTTAGTTATTGATATTATACCAGATAGACCTTTTATTTAATATTCAATCGGTTCAACAGCGCAATTGCGCAAGCGAGAGCGTGGGCGCAAGAAGATTGACAATGAACAACCATGAGAATTCTCGGGCTCTCAATGTTTTCGCCATGGTGGATTGTCGAACAGAGACAGGACCAGTAGGACCACTGCGTTGCCGTCTACATCGTAAAAAGTTGACGATATCTTTTCGAAGATCTGCAGAAAGCATCAGCAGACAGAAAGGAGGCACGCACAACATGACGTCATTTATCCAGTAGAACTAAAAACTTTGAAACACTTCCAGATTAGCAGTTGCATAGCAGTTGCAAGGTAAATTATTCACGCTCAGTGTTTCACATATGTACGTATGTGAATTAAAAGATCAACTCTTTTTTTGCGCCCTTTTGTTTTATGAAATAATGCCTAGTAAGAAACGTATCCTAGATCGAAATGCCATGTGTATTTACCTCCCTTTCAAAAAACGAGAAAGTGTCGGGTGCAGACCACACACCACAAGTGACGACGGCCTCCACAAAATGTAAATGTTTTCTGCCAATGAAATGATTAGCCTGTTGCAGTTGTATTCTATCAGTTGTCACTAATTACAACTATCATTTACCAAAAATCAGCTATCACTATGAACCACTACTAACCAGATTTACTTGGAGGCCGTCGTCACTTGTAGTCCCGACGTTCTCCTCGTTTTTCAAGAAGAAAAGTGGACGCATACCTTCACATTTGTTTTCGGATGCTGGAAGTGCTTTCCAGATCTACGAAATGATTCTCTGAACGCAGTTGTGGGGGCATTTTTACCCACGCGGTTTCGCGTGTGCTATCCGATGGAGGGGCGGAAGTGGTGTAGTGGCAAGTGGCACCACGCGAGCGGTCCGGGGATCAAATCCTGGGTCGTGAGTCGCCCGGGCCAACCAAGCCTTCCATCCCTCCGGGGTCGGTTAATTGGTACCAGACTTGTCTGGGAGGATAAAAACACTGACTTGTACATCGGCTGGCCCCCGCAAGTCATTGTATAGGCCACATCGCATTCAAACGCCACTACGAATGTACAAATGGAAGTAGAATGCGTGCCGCATCCCAAAAAGGGATTGATCAACGGCAAATGCTTTATCCTTTATCCTTTTATCCGATGGGGGCACCCGCCGAAGCTTCGCAAAAGGGAAAGCTAAGGCTGAGTTACAGCGCAGTTGGTAGTGAAATGTGGAATGGCGGAATTGAATCATCGTGGTGTTCCATTTTAGTTCTCATACAAAATATTCAGAAGGCTTATCACGCGCCACCTCACCGATAAATGGCCATAGCCGATCCCACAGTTCACCAGCAATTCCAAACAAATTTGGGTACCATTTGCTGATGATTCGGCTTACGTCTCTTTGCACTGATGCTAAGTGTTTTAGACCTCAACAAATGTGGTATTCTGATCACCAACCAATTTCCCCTCAAATTTGAGATCAACCCAACGTCAAAAATTTGTGGGAGCACCACACAGCCTAGCTTTCACACGCATTAATAGTACAGTATCTTTAAGATTGTTTCAAAAGCTCGTTTTAGGAGACTCCGTACGAATTTTCTGAAAAAGGGTTGAATCAGAAAATGAGTCACATATGATGGCGGATTTGAACACTCACACCAAACATCACGTTCAAGGAGACCAAACTTTTGGGTTTTTCAAATATAGAAAAGATTAATTTTCCAGTGCTTCAAAATAATACAGTAATCGCATGGATGCATATTTCTTCATTTACTTTTGCTTGATTGGTGGCCATCAGTTCTTCTTCAGTATATCATACAAGAAAAACCCGCTGTATGACTTTGAGAAAGAGGGCCAATCCGCTAAAAGAAGGGACTTCTCATGCAGTCACTGTGTAGTTATACTTCTGCTCATTGCAAAATATTGAGCTAAAAGGACTCTGGCTTCCATTCGTTGTTTTCTATCACGGTGAACACCGCAGTATGGGAATAGATTCACCCAAGCCGGTGGGAAGGCAGTTTTTCGCCCACTTTGTCGTAGTTCCTGTTTGCCTCTCTCTTACAGTTTTTCGCTTCACATGACCTTGGGAAAGGTAAAGCCCTTACAAGAAAGGAAGAATTTGAAAGCGAGCAGACAGAAAAGAGACCATCACCTTACTTCCATAATTTTCTAGTTCCCTTCTGAATTTCGAAAGCATACCTCACCACAACGCACGAACATTCATTAAGGAAGCTAGTGAAAAAGGAGACTCGACTACGGCTTAGAACTGAATGTTTTTCTCATATTGCCGCGCTCATTTTTATCGGAGGGCAAAGTATAATAGAATGCCCAGAGCCATTTTTGGTTCCATATGTCCATAATGCAAGGTTTCCCGAAAATGTCATCCGTTATGTAGCCTAGGATCAAATCTCGCGCATTGTAGCTTCCTGACACCGGCTTCCATTTCTTTTGAGACGATATGCTCTTTTTCAAAGCCTTATAGCGCTTTCACTTCGGTGATAACCAAAAATAAGAAAACTGATTTTAATGATACGCAAATTAAATGCAGCGGTGATGTATGAGGTAACCGTTTGATGCACGCGAAAACATTTTTCTTGGAAACGAACATGAATTTTTTGTATTCCTTCATCCTGAATTTTTGCTCCGATTCGCGATCTACTTGGCATACTCTCTTCTTCAGACTTTTTCAGACTTGAACCATTGGTTTTTGATCGATTTGTAGATGGCTGTATCGTTGTGAGACGCAGTGTAGTTAGTGTTATTTTCAGCCAGCAACCGTTGGGCTAACAATAAGCCGCTTGCTATTGCAACACGGTATAGTTTTTCGTAAGAGCCTACAGCTCCTCCAAGATGATCCCTGCCCCGCGAGCGAGGCGCAATCTTCGGTATGGTGGTTTCGTGCGACGGTACTGGGATATGTGGTACTCTGTGAGTCATCTTCATTTAGAATAAACAAATTGACCAGAGAACGAATTTTTTGATGGAACATGGGTGGTACTGAGATTCTGCTGCATCGCACATTTTCAATAGCGGATTAAGGCTCATTCCAATAAGTTAGGTAAAGGCTATGTGGTGCGAATAGAGTTTTCGCAATTTTTAGGAAAGATGGTACATGATGGATGTTAATGAGCAGGCAATATGGTTCGCGCACCTACAGGATCTTTCCGCTCTGCAAAAAAAATTGAAGTTACTTGTAGCCGACAAAAATTGTGTCTTCGAATTCATCCCTTTTATGGCAGTGGATGGTACTCAAATATACCTTATTCTAGTTTGCAATGCATAATCATAATCAATTTTCTGATGAAACAAGGAATAAGCTCACTTGCATGGTAGCCCATAGGTCGAACTCCGCGTTCTTAGTGAGCGTAGCGACTGATTTTGAAATTTGTTGAGCGCACATAAGCATGGTAGAAACAAACACGATAGCAGTGTAGAGTAGAAGACCCTGGATCGAAGTTCATAATGCAAAATCTGTGCAGTCAAAGAAAGAAGATGTGATTCATATATGCTTAACAATTTTCGCTCCATTTTTGACGCTAGATTCACTCTCTTGATAAAGTGATTACGAGCTTACCTCAGCTTTCTCACACCTACCCTATTTATACCAAGCTCATTTTCTCATAGAGTAACGATTCAAAATATTCCTCAGTCAAAATCGATTCTGCAAACTGCAGGGTTATGCTTTATGACATAACCAGTATAATTGGAATTAATGTGTACTTTCAAAAAGCTCGATTTTTTAGAATAAATATATGTATATCGTCAATGTGATGCGAATGTTACATTGGCATGACCTGGCGAATTTCTGCCTCTACCGCCAGTTTAGAGGTGGAAATCATTGAAGGAAATTTGGTCGCCTAGTTGCGGTTTTCAGATTACAGAGGAAGCCAAGTTTAAAAACCTCCTGCAGTGCTAGAGTATCACGTCTTGTAGCTCTTAGAGCGATGCATTGCGCGAGGAGACCTGTAGCAAAATTGAAATGGTTACTTTCTATGGTTATCACCACGTTACAACAAGGCTAGTATTATGTGGCTAAATACTGTATCATGGTTTGGACATCTTCTTAGGCGGAGTAGCATAGCGCACAATCGTGAGCAGGGTGAATAACGGTCGAGGAAATCCTCGACAGGGGGTCGTATTTGCTCCGATGAGAGTTGGGAGGGGGTCGTAATCAAAAGGTTCATCAACGGACACAACGGTGCTGCTGCCACTTATTTGCTGTCATCATTAGTTTCACAAGTGTTGTAGTTAGCCTAATGCAAATAATATCTTACAACTGTCTGGAATTAAAATTTAAATGGAAAGTGGTTGTTGGTTTGGTTCGTAGTGATCAGTATGGCATAGGAAGGCAACGCGTCCTGCAAAAGAATCGTAGGGAAAGGGCAGCGAGTATCTACTCTAGAATGATGTACATGCTTCGAGAACTTAGTGGAGGAACAGCATCTTGGTAGAAAGTTCAAAACAGGCAGATTCGCAGCCTTCTTGGCATCATCAGATCCTGCAACCGCAAGCGTGTCATTCATCAGAACGGGTTGGAAAGGAAGCGATTTGAATAAAGGAATGATCAGACATCACTATGACCACAAGAGTTATCCTAATTAGTTAATACTGGAAATATGCTTAAGCAAGTCGTCACTAGGACAAAACACCTTCCCAATGACTCCGAGTGGGGTCACTGCATGGCGCATACAAGAACGGAATGGATCTGCGCCAAGTGCATCATTTTCAATTTACTCCATCGAACTGACGTGTACAGAAGCATTTTGAAGGTGTTCAAAGAAGTTCCCTACTACGGCGAGGGAGTAATAGAGTTTTCGAGTGGCTTCGAAAATTTCCTTGACATTTCCTCGACGCAGATTTCTCGCGAACTAGAAAGCGTTCGAAACAACTGGAGCACCTATCAGAAAGCGTAAATCTTCTACTTTACAACGCTTTCCTCCGATTTTCAAAGCATTGCCAATGAAGACAGCTACTGTCTTCCAAAGAGTGGGAACTCGCATGTAAATTTCAATTTCCTCGACAATTTCTCGACGTCTCCCACTCTCGAGAATAGGCGTGCTTAGAAAAACGCTCAGCACAATTTAGAAACTAGAAGTCTTGTGCATTCAAAAGCTGCCTTCACTTTCTGAAATGGTTATCAATGAAGAAAGTTATAGTCCTTTAAATAGGGGTATATTTGACGATTTTTCCGACTCGCGTGCTCTAGGCACAGAGCGCGGGTACTTAGCGCCGCTA